TTTATTGCTCACATACATGTATGCCCATAAAGTGCCACTGATACTTACTCAGGGGAATGACAACCTTTCAGGAGATGACCTCAAATCTTTGAGTTGCAGTTCTCTAGAGCCCCACCATAATTGGGCTAATTACAGAAGGAAATTTATTGGTTGGAAATCTTATCTCTTCCCCCAAAAGTATTTTTTTCCAGAGTAGATAGTTAAGTTTTGGGTGAAGGATTACTTGTCATTACTCAAAAAACAATTGGTCAACTTTGTCATCTCCATGAGAGTAATGTACTTGTATTAATTGCAATAGTGAAAGAAAGCCAACATAAAATCTGAGTTTCTATAACATGGCTTGGGAAAAAAATAAAATATGATCTTTTCGGAAAAAGAGAAAATGAACACAGAATTGACAGGAAAATGAGGAAGTAGAATCTTTCCCAAAATTTGGAGCAAGGATAATTGCACAGATATTTGTCAAAACATGTCTAGTATATTCAGTCCTCATTATTATTGTAAATATTGTTATCTCCTAATGGGTAAGTACTGTCTTACCACCTATCACATGCTTCCATATTTCTTAATATAATTCTACATATGTAGTAAAAATTAGGAGTTATATTTTGTATATTCCATGTGACTGACATTATTTTTAGAGAACAAATTTCAACAATGTTTGCCAATAACTTACTTAAGAAAACCACATGAAGAAAATATTGAAATTATCATAGGATACTCACCAAATGTATTTACCATCTCAAGTAAGATAAATAAGTCTCACATAAATTGTGCAATATTATATGCATGCACAACAAAATAACACACATAGTGTCCTTCAAATAATTTTTAAAGTATTTAGGTTATCCTGTGTGAATAGATTTTGGGACATCTCAGAGAAGTCCTATCCTCTGTGCCTGATCCTGTGAATCAAGTCTTACCTTCGACATCTGTTCTCCAAATAAACTAGTACTAGGAGTAATCTGATAATTTGTCAATATACATGTTTGCCTGAATGTTTCCTCACCAAACCCATAGAAATTATAAATTTTTACATAAGGCAAATATTCTTTTTCTCAGATGTGATGGCTATACTTGTTTGTCACTCTTAATTGACTAATAGATACCTCCTGAGGTTATCAGATTATAGGTGGTTAACCTCATCAATGGATGAGAAACTACATCACTAAATGGTCTTTCAGAAGGTTGGTCTGGAATTAGAAGTAGGACAGCGGAGGTGTGCCTTTGAAAGTATGCCTTTGCTCCTGTTTTCTCTTACCTTTGGTTAATGAGTGCCATGAGATGAGCAGCATATGCAACTACTCCCTCTGCCATCATGACCTTCTGCAATGGAACCTGTGAACTATGGATTGAAATCTCTGCATTCACAAAGTACAATAAATGTTCCTTCCTATGAGCTGACTTTCTAATTATCATGATCACAACAACAAGAGATGACTAATAAAATGGGACTCTTCTTTTGTCAAAGAACTTTTTTAAAGCAATGTTCACATCCTTATTCCTCAGGCTGTATATTACAGGATTCAGCATAGGGACAATAGCAGTGTAAAACACAGATGATACTTTCCCTTGGTCCACAGAGTTGACTGAAGAGGGCTGCAGGTACATAAATGTGAGAGAACCAAAGAACACAGCAACAGCTGAGATGTGGGAGCTGCAAGTGCTGAAGGCTTTGGACCTGCCTGTAGCTGAGCTAATGCGAAGGATGCTGGCTATAATGAAGATATAGGAGGAAAGTATAGTCAGGGTTGGGAGAAAAATATTAAATGCACTTAAGCCCAGAACTACCACCTCATTGATAAAAGTACTAGAGCAGGAGAGCTCCAGTAGTGGGAAAAGGTCACAGAAGTAATGGTTTATTACATCAGCCTTGCAAAAATCCACTCTTAGCATGCAGACTGTGTGAGCTGTGGCACCAACCAAGCCCATGCTGTACACCCCAGTGACCATCCAGCAACACACTTGAGAAGACATGGCAACATGGTAAAACAAAGGGTTACAGATGGCAACATAGCGGTCATAAGCCATTGCAGCCAGCAAGTGACACTCTGATATAACAAAAACCAAAAAGAAGTAGAGTTGAATGATGCATTCAGGGTAGGAGATGATGTTCTTTTCTATCACAAAGTTCACCAGCATTTTGGGGGTAATGACAGTGGAATAGGACAGGTCAATGAAGGACAGACTGCTGAGGAGATGGTACATGGGAGTGTGCAGGTGAGAACTGAGCCTGATCAGGGTGATCATGCCCAGGTTCCCCACCACTGTGAACACATAGATTCCCAGGAAGAGAAGAAAGAGGGGCAGCTGGAGCCCTGGTTTCTCTGTTAACCCAGCGAGGATGAAGTAAGTCACTGTGGAATGATTTCCTTCTGCCATTTCCTTCCAGGAATTTCATGAAAGAAGAGAAGAAAAGAATTGAGATAGTTATTTTTGTATCATCACACAATGAAATAATAAACATAATTCTTTTTCATTCTTGTATCTGCATTTCTCAGCCAGCTTCTCATCTAGATCAACTGTAAAAGACCTTGAGATTTCAGAAATATGAGACATGTAAATAAATATCAGATAGAACTATTCATATTTTCTATGCTATAAGATTGGCTATTAATAGTGCCTTGTCCCTGAACATAAAAGGCAAGAGTTAGCACTTCCTCTTTTTTTAAATCACATAACTTTGTACATAGAAAATATAAGGAATATATAAAAAAGAGCTATAAGAACTAATTAAGAAGTTAATCAAAAAATCTATTGTGTTTCTGCACACTTAAAATGAGCAGTAAAACTACAATTGTAATAGTATCCAAAAAATAATAAAAGGTTTTGGAGTTAATTAAGGAAAAGGAATGTATATCATTGGACATATAATTATAAAACATTGATGAACGGAAGTAAATAAATGGACAATCATCCATGCCCATGGATGAAAAAATACAATATTGTGAAAATCTTAATACTTCTGAAATTGGCCTACAAATTCAGTGCAACCATAACAAAATCTCAGCTGTGTTACATGGAGATATTGATAGCCTAATCACAAAATCGTATGAAAATGTAAGTAACTAAGGGCAATTCTGCCAATCTGAGAGAGAAGGATGGAATTAGAGGTTTTATATTTCCCCTTTTGAAAATGCACTATGAAGTTACAGTGACCACAACAAGGTAGTAATGGAAGGCAATGACAAAGTATAAACTCACATGTAACTTGACCTAAAATGCTATAATTCAATTGGTAATGAATAGTCTATTTTTTTTATTCATCAAATGCTGCTGGGACAATTAGAAGAGTAGAGGTAAAAGATTAATTTGGACTTCTTTCTCAGCTCATCCACTATAATTTACTCAAAATAGATCCTAGAACTAAATGTAAGAGCCATTGTCTAATGATAAGTAAAATATGTGTGACCTTTTATTTGGGAAAGGTTTCTGAGAAAATATGCCAAAGCAGAAAGTGTCTTAGAAAACTGAACACGAAAATTGAAAAATTTTGTCCTGTAAAGAACACTGTATAGAAGTTGAAAAGAAAACACACAGAAAAGGTAAAAATGATTTCAAATACTGTATTTGAGTGGTAACTTGTAGTCAGTATTAATTAAAAATAAACTCATAATTTAGAAGTTAAAAGGATGAATAGCCAAATTTTAAAATGGTCAAAGAATCTGAATAAACATTTTTGTCGGGCTGGGGATTTAGCTCAGTGGTGCCACCGCCTGCCTTGCAAGTGCAAGTTCCCAAATTCAATCCCCAGTACCAAAAAAAAAAAAGCTAGTCACAATATTTTTGTATTTAAGATATGTGAGTGACTAGTAAGTACATGACAATATTTGTAACAGCACTGATTATTAAGGAAATTCAAATCAAAATCACAGTAAGACAACATGCTATATCCTTTGGGAAGATCGTAATCAAAAGATAAATGAAAATAAGAGTTGGAAAGAATGAGAAGAAATTTCACCCGTGATATATAGCTGATAGTATTGAAAATGATACAGATTGTTAGGAAACAGATTGGCAGTTATTCAAACTACAACATGTAGCGTTAAGATGCGGTTGAGCAATTTCACCACTGAGTACTTATTTTAAAGAAAGAAAACACACATCCTCACAAAAATTGGTACATGAGTTTTCAGAGCAACATTACTTATGATAGTCAGAGAGGAATCCAAATGATGCCCATCCAATGAAGAATGGACAATTAAAGTGTAGGATATCAAAATAAAATAGCAGAATTCAGCAATTAAAAGGAATAAAGTGATGAGATCTGCCATACCTTGAATGAACCTAAAACATATGAGATGAGGAAAACCACACACAAAAGCCATCCATTCTCAGAATCCACTTGTTTGATTCAAAATTGGCAAATTCCTAGAGGCAGAAAGCAGATTTCTGTCTGCCAGTTGCTGTGGACAGGAGATATTGGATAGGACTGCTAATGGTTTCAGAGCTTTACTTGAGTTGGTATTGAAAAGTCCCCAATTTGTACACAGTTATAGTTGTACAACTCCATAAATATACCAAAAAAACACTGATTTGTAAACTTGAAAATGGTGAATTGTATGTGAGTTACAATTAAGTAAAAAGGTGCTATAAAAATTAAAACCACAAAAAAATAATAATGATAACCATACTGACCACATAAAACATTCCATGAGAACATATTAATTCACCTCCATTTTGGCAGCCTTGCTCATCTAGGTTTTGCCTAGTATGTTTATGAAAACTATGCTCATTAAGTTTTTCTCCAAGAAATATGGCATCCTTGCGCACGCGGCACACACACACACAACCATCCCCATCTTTGTTTTTTTTTTTCCATTAATTTTATTGGTACATTTTAGGTATACAGTACAGTTACATTCATCATTGGGATCTTGTACCTTTATATGCTGTATCTTGGTTCTTATTTTTTCCCCATTCCCCTGCCCTCCCTTCACCCCCTCTACCCTTCCCTATTTACAAAGACTTTGTCTACATTTTTTTTCTTTTCCCTTCTTTTTTTCCCTTACCCCTCCCACTTCCCATACTCTTTTAGACCTTTTCTTCCTATTTAACAATTATACATTTTGATCCTTATTTACACTTTTACTTTTTCACACCAGAGAAGCTATTCGGTATTTACACATGTGTGTCCTATTTATTTCACTTAAGCACATCCCCATCTTTGGAACTTTGACAGCATATGTGGGGCTCTGCCATCTCCTCTGAGCACTTCCCCATGAAGTCTGAATTTGGCATATGTTCTTCCTGCCAACTGCTTCCTGTTCTACTCTGGTAATTCCACCTGGTTGTTTGAATGTCCATGGCTTTTCTCAAATCACTTGCTCTGAGTCCGTTGTCTGAGCTTCTTTCATTCAGATCCATTTTAGAGATGAGTGAATCGTAAGCAGAATGCCAAAACTTTTAAGGGAACTAAAGGTTTTGTTTATTCCTTTGCTCATTTCTTACTAGGTTCATTGAAGTAGAATACAGTGTTTGAGTCAAAGAAATGCACATATTTAATGTGCACGATTTGATAAGTTTGGATATATGCAAACACTAGTGATACCACCACCACAATCAAGGTAAGCAATATATGTATCACATCCCATAGTGTCCTTAGGTAGCTCAATGCTTCACATGCTACCTACCATTTTAAATTTTGAAGTACACAATACCACGTTGCTAACTACAGGCAGGCGTTACACTGTCATGTACAGAATATCTTTAAAACTTGCTCATCTAATAGAAATGAAAATTTAAACCCATGATGAAACTCCTCCCTGTTTATCCTCACCTTCCAGCCCCTGGTAACTAGTATTCTGCTCTCTGCTTCTATGAGATTGCCTGTTACAGATGCCTCATATAAGTAGAATAATGTAGCATTATCCTTTTGTGACCGGCTCATTTCACTTACAGTATTATCCACTGGGTTCTGCCTATTGTTTCAAATAAAAGATTTCCCTTGAGGAACAAAAATATCTTTGAATTTTTATGTAAAAAATGATGACTCAAAACCATCCTAAGATTGCTAGAGTAGACATGGAATTTTTGTTTCAGTAAATTTTTACTAGATTGATAGAGTAAAAGAGTGGAATAATCATAGTTTTCCCAGTTCAGTAAAGTATTTGTTAAATCTTTTGTAGTCTTGCAGACATGACGGAGTTATGTGTTTTAAGTAAAGAGTAGAGAAGAACATTTCATAGTCAGATGAACTTGGGTAACATCTAAAAACTAATGAGAAAGTCAAAACTTCATTCTTTTCTTTTGAACTCAAGACCTTGTGCTTACCAGGTACGCACTGTGCCGCTGAGCTACATCCCTGGCCCTCTTTATTCTTTATTCCACAAGATATACACTTAGTCTTGTCTTGAAAATAGCATTCTGTCAGTAACTTAGATAATTCCATACAAGTAAATATATTTATAGAAAATAATAATGAATATTTATATGAAGAAAACCATCCAAGAAAATATTTTAGGCCGTGAAAGGGAAATGCATTAAAATTTTAAAAATTATTATTGAAAGGTTCCTGAGAGCATTCAGGATAGAGATAAATTAAGCAGAATCTTTGCCCTCTAAAATATTTCAATCCAGAAGGGCCAAGGAGGCAGACTTGACAGTGGGATAAATGTCTTAGCAAGGCAGGTCCTGCAGAAACATAGTTATTATGGTGTGGGTGCAGAGTAGGGCTCAGTGAAAGGTTTTGAAGAGAAACGAAGTTTTTCCTCTTTTTTCTCCTAACAATTATCACAGGATATAACTATTGCCCCAAAGGACCTTTGGTCCACCCTCAGTTTTAATTCATAATGTTTCTTCAGTTTCTCTTTCCATTCTTCTTTATCCCATGAAAGCTTAATTAAAAGTTAAGGTCCTTCAGTTAAGATATTTCA